AGCTTGTTTGCGGAAAGGGGGAGCAAATATGGCATCGAAGGGGCCACACTGTGCTCATTGACTCTATTAACGCCATTACTGATGTGACTGCCAGACACACTATTTAATGGGCCTGTAGAATCACCGTTCCATTGCAAGGTCTGTCTGCAAGACACTTTGTTGGTCTGACGACTGGCCTCTTCTAGAATGCCATGAGCGTTGGCGCCACCGAAGCCAAAGGAATTAATGCTGATACGTCGTGCGCTGCCTTCCGATGGGAAGTCTGTCATGCGAGTCACAACTTCTACCCCCCATTCATTTGTTTTAATTTTCGGATTGATCTGCTTTACACTGATGGTGGCAGGAATCTGGCGCCGCTCCAGAGAGAGACTGGCCTTCATGATGCTTAGCAAACCACTTGAGGCCTCTCCATGTCCCAGGTTTGGCTTGACGCCGCCGATTAGCGTTGGCCGGCGGCATTGATCTTTGCAAAAAACACGAGAAAGTCCTTCGACTTCAATTGGGTCTCCGACACTTGTGCCAGTACCGTGGACCTCAACGTAGGCAGTCTGTGCTGGATCAAGTCCGGCACGAGCATAGGCCTTGCGGATAACTGCCTCCTGCCCATCGACACTTGGCTGTGAGATGCCTGGTGTGCGACCGTTGCTGTTCACCGCGGTTGAGCGGATTATGGAGCGAATCGCATCCTCGTCACGGATGGCATCATCCAGTCGCTTGATAAAGAGCGCACCGACGCCGTCGGCTCGAGCGTACCTAGCCCCAACATAAAGAGTTAACCAGGTTTGCCCGTTGGGTAGTACCAGGCAGAGGAGGGTCAAGGAGCCTCAACTCACCCATCGGCGGAAGCATCAAATGTTTGACACTTTGACGCTGGTGAAAGCACTCCACCCAGTGATGTCCCAACATGCACCTCTGGAGTTTGTATGAGGTTAACACCCGCCACCACGGCAGCATCACACTCGCCATTTTCCAAGGCAGAACAGGCCATATGTAATGCATAGAAGGACGAGGAGCATGCTGTGTCCACCACGCAACTCGGCCCTTTCATGTTGAAAACATGGCTGATCCTGTTTCCGAGGAGGGTAGCCCCCATACCCAGGTGGGTGAATCTGGTCATGTTCTCCACATCCTTGGTCTGCATGGCGATGAAGTCCGGCGTGAATGAAGCGACTGAATTACTGTCAGTATATGCAAAAATTGATGAGGAGTCAACCGGCTGTCTACGCACCATAACATCCAACATTCGCACCCGACACATCGTCCAAGGTAACCCCCGCGCTTTCAAAGCTTTCAAAGACAACCTCCAGCAGCTTCCGCTGTTGTGGGTCCATATCCGCAGCCTCTCGGTTGTGGATACCAAAGAACTGGTTGTCAAAGTTCCGAATGTCGTCCTGCAGAAAGCACCCGCCCAATGCTACTGTGGTAGACGGCTCATCCTTGCTCCCATGAAAGCTGTCAACGTTGAACCGTGACTTGGGCACTTTGCCAGCCGCACAGCGTTCTTCCGCTAAGAAGTCCCATAGTTCGGACGGACTGGAAATATCACCGGGAAACCGGCAGCCTAGGGCATACTCATCAGTGGTTTGTCGCCATTTTCATACAACAGTGCTTACCAATGCCAACAATCGCAATTGATTTGTTCTTGGACGCGGCCGGTTCGCTGTGGCCATTCATTAATGGCGTTGTTTGGTTCTTGGGGAACTGCATCTTCAATTGTAGGCGATGACCCTAAATATAATACTTTCTATGTCAATGTGCGAAAGTCATAGGCATGGCCTTCTTATCGCTGTCTGCGAGTGCGCGTATGGTCATATTATAGAGATGTATGCCGAGTCCCATTGTCGAAGTGGGCCGGCGCTCCCCGACTCGACAATACCCAATGTGACGAGATGTCGCGCTGCAAATGAGAAAGCTGAGAGTTTGAGAAATGGTGAGGCAGATATGGAGGCTTACTCAGTACATGTGCTGAAAGAACGTTCAGCCCCCACCCCGAGCCGTCCAGGGTGGGGGCCATGATACTAAGGCATTCTCCCTTGCAGAACCCCGCATGCTCGTACTACTAAGTACTACTACTAGTAGTAGTACACAGCCCACTACTAGTGCTACTAGTACTTAGCGAGGAGAATGAATTAATGATACCGATAACACTAGAAAATAAAATAGTACCATGCACAATATCTTGTATAATTTATGCAATTAGCATTGTGTGGGTGATATGATGAGCAATTTGGATGGCTTATGTCATCTCGGTACGAGAATATATCTTAGTCGAGCAGGTATCCGGTAGATCAGCAGCCTCGAGGAAGATAAGGTACATAGAAGCTTGGCTCACCTTATAGAGTTCGTATCACCAGGTCATACAGGTTTTTCATGCAGATCAACAGGAAAATTCAAGTAAGGTAGGCAATCTGACTCACATAAGCCTCTGTTATAACTTATTCCTCAAATGAAGTGGAGATAAAGCGATGTACATGGGCGGCTACAATCACCAAAGTTTGACTTTTGAAAAAAGATATTAAAAAAAATGGAATTGAGAAAAGAAAACCCATTTCATTCATTTATGATTTGTCTAGCTTGCTAGTAGGTATGCTATGGGGCCATGTTTCATGCACCTACGTCAGCTAGAATCCTAGCTAGTACCCATATCACGCTAACAGTTCCTCGGTTAAAACTTTCTGGATCTCCTCCAGGTACATGCTAATGTGTGCCGGTTCCTCATACCCATCGTTGAAGCTGTATACGAGCCGCAGCTGATCATAGAATGTGTATATGAAAAACATGGACATGCCGAGAACAACGTCGACGCCCATTTTCACGTCCAGAACCTTGACTGTGCTGCCATACGTGTGTTGTACATATCGCTCAACAATGCCCAGGCTGCTGATTTGCGCATCTCCGGGAATGGGCCCCTGGTACTCGGGCAATTGGATGGCTTGGGAGAGGACTCGTGTCATGTGTGTGTGCAGGGGCAGGATCTCAGGATCATCCTTCACAGTGGTCCGGTAGTACTTATCCAGTGCATGGGCTGTCTCCCAGAATGGTATAGGGAGGTCGAGATCCAAGGGAAGAGGTGTGTAGTAAACCGAAGCCCCGTACTCGCTGGTACTGTATGGTTTGGGGAGGTACGGCCGCAGGTTGAATAGCCCTAAGCTTACATAGCGGGATAACGTGCCGTTTGGATTCGCATGTTTGATAATCGCGTGGATGTACGCTGCATGTACAGCCGAGGTAACGCTGATACCCTTCTCCTTGCATACTTTCACAATCGCTTCCGTTGTCCGCGAGGGGAATGTCCTTTCTGCATTCTGTGACCGACCGGCAGGTACGGTACCAACTCTGGACACCGGGCCAACACCCGGAGCTTTGGTCGCATAGCTCATGAGGAGCGCCGTGGCTTTCTCGGTCTCCTCCGGCGTCGACTCGGAGACCTTGAGCACTTCCTCAATGGAGGGTGCCAACCGGGTCTGCTCTCCACCAAATGTGACCTCCTCGGCTGGAGTTGCCAAAGCTGTCAGGTAGCGGTCCCAGAGGAGCAGTGTGCCGGTGCCATCAATTGTGTAATGCTGGGCACGCAGTACAAGCTCCGATGAATTCGGAATGTAATACAGTGTAACCTGCTTGATCGGCTCAACATTGCAGTATAACTCCTCCGCATCTGCCGCAGGTGAAACAACAAAGGTTGAGGCAAGCCACTCCTGTAGAGCCGTCTCATCGGGAACCTCATAGACCATGGTCGTGCCATCAACTGTGGTAGCAATCTGGGGCTGCTCAGACCGCAGCTGCTTCCAAGCGCGCTTAAGTGCGGCTTCGATGTCCGCCGGGTTGATATCGAGGTCAACCTTCACTTTAGAGAAGATGGTGTACTGGTGGCGGCCATCGCAGTGATCTGCTGACACCGATCCCATATAGACAAAATATCCCTCCATTCCGGTGACAGGGCGCTCCCAGCGGCGTTCGGATACTTTTTTCCAACTCATGATTGCTCAGCAGTCTTTGGTTGTGAAACAGATCGAGGGAAGCAGATTGAGACTTAGGAGATCGTGAGAAATGGAGAGGGATACGGCGGGTTCTCCCTTTGGATCATGGCAATCTTAAATCAGCCCCGAGCATTGCTGGGCAGGGTATTTAGGCAGTCTTGGCCTTACGGCCTTGTATAGCTTTTCTTTGTGTTCCTGATCCTTTTCCGCAAGGGACCGTGCTGTGATCTCCGCCCATACTCGGTCGTTCATCCTGGCTATCCTTTGGTCTCGAGTGGGTCTAGACACCTCCGCACGGGCTGTGCCGTGAGTTCCTGTCCACTCCTCGGCAATCCAGTCAGCACGAGGATCGGCGCGTCGCCTGACTATGGCCCCATTAGCCGCCAAAGGGCTTTTTTGTTTTTTGTTTTTTTTTTTTTTTTTTTTTTCGGGATACGTGGAATTAAGTACTTAACCTGTCCGGCTGACTTCTATATTAGAGGCTTGCCTAATCGGTGTTGGAATGTTTTGCAGGGGGAGGGGGAAGAGGGGTTGGTTTTGGGTCTTTTCTCTCTCGGCGCTTGTGAACTTGCTTGATATTTTAAGAAATTCAAGCAATTTAGTCTTTCTACCTAGTCTAAGTCTGCGGAGTGGTAGTTGAGGGCGGAGGCGGACGAAATAAAAATGAAATGAGCTTATAACAGCATCAATCAATAAATCAAAGCAAAGCAAATCTAACCAGGGAAAGTACTCTAGCTACTTAAAAATTTTAATATATTAATAGTATTAAGAACGGATGTTAGTTTTGCCGTACTCTAGATTGAATACATTAGATGATATTAATTTTAACTTCAATTTCTCCTCCGAAATGGGAGAATTGAGAATAATGATTAAAATAGAACAGGGATCTTCCGCGCTGTGACAATACTCGGACGAGGAATGTGAATACTAATGGCGGAGGAAATGATAAAACTTAATGGCAGGCCGTAAGTTGACCCACTTTGCGACGACTACGTACTACTACTACTAGTATCACAAGGGGGGATTTATCAAATCAATCGACCCCACCACAACGGGCATAGTAAGCAATGAGACGCTGACAGGACGACTAATTAACTCTGATTCGCCCACACTTTGACCAACCCTAAACCCCTCCTCCCTGGTCAGAAGCAATGGAGGGGCCAGACGAGGCGCAATACATCCCGATGGGGGCTGATTCTGCAGGTTAAGCAAGGACAGGCATGCATGACAACTCTCTCCTCCGTACATGCCAGTGCATGGCAAGCTGACCCGACTATTTTCAAGCCCGTAAGATCCCTCTGTCTTTCATTTTTGTTAACGTACTGTTCACCTGGCTTCCGCGTCGCTTCCCTCTTCATCATCCCGGACGAGCACAACTAATACTCATGGCCCTAGACGTACCAGATGGCACCCCCGACCGTGGGGAGGGTGTCGTGATCTTGAGCATCATCCTCATGGTCCTGATAATTCTGGCCACGATCACTCGTATTATGAGCAAGATTATCGCGCATCAAAACTGGTGGTGGGATGATCTATTCGCAATTCTCTCCGTGGTAAGTTTACTCGCCGGCACAAACGTATCTCCAACCTCGAATAATGACCAGGGATACTAATCATCCCATCCCAGATATGCGAACTGGTCGTGCTATCCCTGGTCCTAGTATGGCGAAACATAGGCCTGGGCTACCACATGTCAGTCGTGGCGTCCATCAACCCGGAATACCTGATCAGCGGCTCCAAATACCTCTTCATAGCAATCTTCTTCTTCGATGCCTCAGTCTGCCTTCCCAAGATCTCCGCGGTCTTCTTCTATGCGCGCGTCTTCCGCTCCAATAACCGCGCATTCCGCATCAACCTCTGGATCATCGGCGCCCTCGTTGCGGGCTGGCTCATCTCCGCCGAAATCTCAACCATTTTCCAATGCAATCCCATCGCCAAGGCCTGGAACACCACCCTACCAGGAACATGCATCAAACAATACGACTGGTATCTCTCGACTGCGATCCTTTCCACCGTGATTGACTTCTACATCCTCATCCTCCCCATTCCGATGATCTGGTCCTTAAAAATGAGCCTCCGACGCCGTATCTACCTCCTCATTTGCTTCTTCATGACCTACTCCGTCATCGTCCTGTCCCTGGGCCGTCTGGTCGCTGTCGTCAACGTTGTCCCGGTCATGTCCACCGATTTGACGTGGGAGTTTCCCCTCTATCTATACTGGTCGGTCCTGGAGGGGTCGATTTCCATAGTCTCGATTAGCGTCCCGAGTGGCATCGCTCTGGTCAAAGCCATCATCCGACCGGAGGGGAGTGCCTGGGGGTCCACCAATGGGAGTAGTGGGAAGCGCGAGAGCTATGGAAATACCACTACTATCAAACCGGTTAGGGAACGGCCCATGCGCAGTTACGGCGACAGGGGGAGCGATGACCATCTCGTCTCTGACGTCGAGACAGTCAGAACAGTGACTTCAGATGAAGATGATGCGACTATCCCACTAGGCGGAATCAAGATCCGGACGGATATCCGAGTTATGAATCGTGAGAAGCAATCAAAGAAATAAATCAAAAAAAAAAAAAGAAAAGAAAAGAAAAGAAAACATAAAGAAGACAAAAAAAAAAGGACAGAGAAGGGAGACGGAAACCCAGAAACAAAGATACCACATGAAGAAAAGAAAGAAATGAATGTGATGACGCTTTAAGCAGGCGGATCGAATGGACATGTGGTTTATACTGATATACGACGTTCTGAGTAGCACCTAGCTATGTATATATCCCTTTTGTGCACTGACGGTTCAATGATATCCATTTTGCGAATATTTATCTGTTCTTGCCTTCTTCCATTTGTTCAGAGGCAAATATTTCCTTTCTCAAGCTTCGTGTACATATAAGTACTGTCAATTTAATTGGTTTGGACAACTTGTACACTCTGGTGTTGTAAAGCCATATGTCATGCGCGCTCTTTCGGTTCCCAAATAACCTGCACAAGCTTCTTGCCTTCTTGCATGGCGTGCTAACTAAGGCAAACTGGTACACTACGGGGTTATACCAGGAAAATACTGAAACCCTTCGCGGATCTCGGTGCCAACTCAAGCCCTGTCCCTTTGATATATTAAAAAAAAAGGGTATGGGCCAATCTCTTCTTGTACTCCATACTTACCGAGTACAACGACTTCATACTAGAGGCTCGAATGAGGAAAAAAAATACATAAAATTATTCCAAGACCCGCAGTTCAAGGGCATGTGTGACTCTATCTATTCTACATGCACACAAATTCAACGTTAATGATAAAAAATAGGGAATCATTCACTGTATGAGGAGAGAAAAGGTCTTCCGCGGCGTAACAAGCTCAAAAATAGCCGGCATACTTCAAGCGGGAACAATAAGAAAACACCTGGAATCTTGTTGGCAAAGTTAATTCATTTGATATATAACATTCCGAGGCATGCAAATCAATGATCCAAATGGCGTGGATGCAGTGTGGTCATCACGTGCTGCACCCCCTTGTAGTCCCGACCGCGCTGTCGAGACAGCCAGCTCGCTGAATTTTGTCCCTAAGCCTTCAACGTTCGACCAGATTGATAGTCAATCCGCCAACTATGTCAACTGAACCACTCCTACCCTCTTATTCCTCTACTCCGGAGTATGAACGAGAACGGCGTCCCTACCGATACAGGCAAGGTAGAAGGGTCAACTCAACCCCACTTACGCCGTCGACTCCACCGATTCAATCTCTAAGCGCCCCGTTCTTTGTCGGCGCCGTGATAGCCTCTACATATTGGGCCTACAAGAGCTATACAGCTTCGGACCAGGTATTTTTTTCTATCTATATCTCACAGTTTTGAACTCTCTGACTGTATTCACAGACCCTATTGGGGCCAGCCCCTTTACTTCCTTACTTTGCATCGTTATTCCTCGTCCTCTCTTTCTGTTCGTGGATCGGCTACCTAGTCTCCATCCTTTACGACCAGGACGAAATTTTTCTGTTCCAGCGCAAGCTTGTCATCTGGATATCAGTTATCGGAAAGGTGGTTTTGGGGGTCGCACACGCAGTCATCTGGTTCGAGTACAAACAATTCTTCCCCGCCACAAAACAACCCAACTGGATTATTATGTTTCTTGCGACGCAGGCTTGGTGGGACCTTTTACTATTGATGGGGTATTATCCTATGCTGCGATTAATGTAATGGAAGAAATACATTTGTTCGATCCTTGTCGTGGCTGAGCGCTGTTCCTTGGGTCAAACCTAATAACTATAGTTACCTATTCGAATGCCCATGGACCACGACGATCTATTCCACTAAGCCGTCTTCGGGTAGCTTGCAGTGGAGCCACGGCCCCGCACGCGACCTTTGTTGCTCCTCATCCTGCGCAGGGAGTCGGAAGCTTAGGCATTCTTGACACTGTGTGCAATGGCGTATCGACCTCGTATCAGCAAAGGGTGCGGCAATTGTCGCACCCGCCGAATAAAAGTATCCTTCTACTGTTTCCCCTTGTAGATAAGATCTTGCTAAACGTTGGTTGACAGTGTGATCAAGCAGAACCGACATGTTCGCAATGTGTGCGAGCATTTTTCTCTTGTCCAGGCTACCGCGATCCGCAACAAGTGCATTATCGCAATGAGAACGAGAAAGTTAGATCCCGGGTTCGATCTGCTCAATACAGGGCTCAGCGACGTGTCAGTTCGGCAAAAGAAACCGCTCCACAAAGTCGCCGAGCCTTCAAAGCCGCCGTTGTTGCCCAATCTCTACAGTCTCTCCCTGCGTCCCTTCCTTCATCCACCTCCGCCGAGTCAGTCGGATTTTTCTTCCGGTACTACGTTCTTGATGATGTACACAATATACCTATCTATCTAAGTGCCTCTCAGATGGAAGTGCTCGCAGCAACCAGCCCATCGGTCATGCAGAGTCTGGTTGCAGTGGGCTTAGCAGGGCTGTCTAACATCAAAAAGTCCACTGATTTAAGGACAAAAGCGACTGAAGAATATACACAAGCATTGCATCTGATCAACAGCACTCTGAAAGATGAAACTCAACGTAAGAGTGACGCTACACTAGCGGCGACGATGCTTCTTGGCATGTTTGAGGTAGGTTGAACTTCGTCAGTTAAAATAGATGAAACATATTAATTCCAGTAGGTCTTGACATGCAACACTCCATCCTCTTTACAGTCATGGGCACAACATGTCCGTGGTGCCGCAGTCCTCATAGAAATGCGAGGGGCCGAGCAGATCAAATGGATCGTCGGCATGAGAATGTTCACCCACCTGCGAGTGCAGATTGTAAGCACTAATAGAACTCTGTTGGAAGCCTTCATAGCTGCTGATAACCCAGCTAGATAGCCAGTTGCTTGCACTGGCGCCTGTCCGTTCCGGCATCGATCGTGCACTGGTCCCTCCAGGCTATGACAGAGAGATCAACGGCCGATGCGAAAGCCGATGAGCTGGTTGATCTGGTTGCGGGTGTTGCCCGACTCTTATCCCAGGCAAGAATGAATTTGGCATTTGATATAGTACCCTCGGCAGCAACTATTGACAGATGCCTTCGACGGTGGAGACACAGCCTTCCACCTCGATGGACTTACCAGACCGTACGAGAGCCGCCCGAGCGCGACCGGAGTTCGTCTCATATGAAATTCTACTATACCCAGGTATATCATCTATACCCTGACCTTTGGGCATGCAATATCTGGAACTTTTATCGGAGTGCTCGGATACTACTCAACCAATTAATTCTCAACACCGCAGAGATAAGTGGCCAAGCAGAACATGTCCAGATTAGACAAACTGTGGTCCAGTTAGCTACTGAGATTGCAGAAAGCGTTCCTTTCGCACTTAGGCTTGTAGACAACGGAGCCACAGAGTTCCCATCGCTTGACCACTGTCTGGGGGGTTTTACGATTCTATGGCCCCTCTACGTGGCGGCTAATACAAGTCCATTAGGCTCTACATTGCGGGAATGGGTGGTTGAACGATTAGAGACCATTGGGAATGATATGGGTATAGGGCAGGCACAGTTCATGGCGAGAACTCTGCGAAACACGTGTGCCTCTGTCCCGTGATTACGAAAATTCCTCTTCTTTCTGTTTCCATCAATCTCCTAAGACAGGCGGCTTAATATAAATCTTCCAGAGTGTGTGTTGTTCTATCCCATGTCGCATCCGCTATGTGGGTCATTATCGTATAATATTCGACTATGTACAATATTTCACCTTTGCTAGCACACAGCCTTCTAAGGTTTCCCGAAATTGCAACAACATCATACACTCCCAGGAAAGACTACATTTACAAAAGGCTGGTTGGGGGCGCAGATGCACCAACCAATCTCATCAATTTGAAGAGCAGGCTCAAATCGCCCTCTGAACTGTTTTCTGGGATGCTTTCACGTCCATTTAATATCTCCACAAATTGGTTCTTCGTGAGCGTTAGATGCAAACCAGACGTACCGGTCGACCTATCCTGGTCTGTTTTGGCGCGATATGTCAATGCTCCATTGCTGAGAATTAGTAGCCAACTTTCCCTTTTGTCTTGCAGATGGAAGTCTATCGTGAACGATTCTGTTGCAGCTTTGGGTCCATCCAGCTCAACTGACAAGAGAGTAAGCAGTTGTTCTATCGATAGTGCAGCCCTGTATTCCCGTTTTGGAGGTTCCGGACGACCGAGCGGCGTAGGAGAGCGCATATCCTGGGCACCGGAGAGGTAGAAGTTGCGCCAAGTGGCATTCTCACAACCATATGCCAGCTTCGTGTATGCAGCTGCCAGTTCAAGCCTTGACTCCTTGTGTTCGGGATGAGCGGCTATGACATGGCCCAAGAGAGACACTGCAAAGCGTGAGTCGCCGTTCCTGGTATACCCCCTTGCCTTCCGAACAACCTCGTCTACACCTCCCATACAATCAATGTATCTCTGTCCAGCTTCAGCCGCTGGGTACTCCCATAGATGTGCTGGATTCCCATCGAACCAACCCAAATAGCGTTGGTAGATTCCCTTGACATTATGACTGACCGAGCCATAGTAACCCTGCGCATGCCACGCCATTTGCAGTGCGGGTGGGAGGGTGAATCGCTCTGCAATTTCGATGCCTGTCAGGCCGAGATTCATCATCCGGATGGTTTGGTCATGGAGGTAGGTGTAGAGGTCTCGTTGCTCCGATATGAGCTTTACGATTTCGTCCTGGCCCCACGTCGGCCAATTGTGGCCAGCGAAGAGCACATTGGCTTTCTGTCCATAGAGGACTGCTGTTTCGTCGAGATAGCGTGCCCAGGCCTTCGCGTCACGAACCAGAGCCCCGCGGAGCGTAATTATATTGTGAAGGCAATGCGTCGCACATTCAGCAATGCAAAGTGCCTTGTGTTCGGGAAAGTAGAAGTTCATCTCCGCCGGCGCCTCGGTTTCAGGGACCATTTGGAACTCGATCCGAACGCCATCCACTGTTCGTTCCTCGCCTGTCTGGCAGATGGAGACGTTTGGAGGAATCAATGACATCGTCCCGCTAGACGGCATCATTCCAAGACCACAGCCAATGTGACCATCTGGCCCTTTCGGTAGGCGCATGCCGTACATATACCCTGCACGCCGACGCATGGCATCGCCGACGTAGATGTTCTCGCTGGTCGCTTCGGCCATGAATCCCTCCGGGGCGATAATAGGCATCGATGTATTCATGCCAGGTTCGAGCACGCCCTGAGCTCCACCAAAATGATCTACATGGGAATGTGAGTAGATCAAGCCAGTTACTGGCCGGTCTCCACGGTGTTCACGGTAAAGCGCTAGTGCAGCCGCTGCACATTCGACGGATGTCAACGGGTCAATCACAATAACCCCTCTATTTCCCTCAACAACGGTCATGTTAGAGAGATCGAAGCCTCGGATTTGGTAGATTCCATCAGTTACTCGGAAAAGGCCCTGGATGGAGTTCAATTGGCCTTGTCGCCACAACTTTGGCTCAGCGGTGGCAGGGCATTCTGCGTCGCGAAGAAAATCGTATTCGTCGTTGTTCCACACTACGCGGCCATGTGCGTTTCGTATGATACATGGTTTTAATGCATGGATAAACCCTCGGGTGGCGTTATCAAAGTCCGCTCGGTCATGGAAGGAGGGTGAGAAGGCCATGGTAGAGATTGTGTTTTATATACGTGGAATTTGTTGTTCGGTTGGCTGGTTCCAATGGTATACTCGTCCACGACTCTGCGGGAGGGAGCGATTATATATTTTTCCTTGGCCAGTTAAAAATAAATAAGTAATAAGATAAAAACGAGAGAGAAAATGAGAAAGTGAATCAGTCGCCAGCCTCGGTTCGGCTAGAAACGCGAATAAAGTCTATGGAGGGCTTGGACGGGAGGATGCTTAGATAACTTCACGATTCAGTTGCCGAATATGGTTTAAGCGCAGTGAGCTTAACGCAAGACGATACCCACTTTCCCCACCACTAAATTTATAACTTTGCGGGGACCAATGGTTGCGCACATAGCCCTCGAGAAGGCCTTGGATGTGCAACACCTCCCTAGAATGATGTGATCAACAATGCCATGGAAGTGTGCAGGTTGAACCGAGGTGAGACGACAGAATTGTTATAAAAAGGTCCTGGGGGCTGCAGCTCGAGGTGTCGAAGGTCACGTCAATCCAGCGGCAACAAAGACGACACCATGTCAGACGCTGAGACATATCTGGATGAGAAAAGAAACTCGAGTGGGGCAGTGTCAGGTCCAGACAGTCTGGAGGATGATCTGGATAGGGATGAGGTCTACTCACCTAGAGAACAGAAGCGGATCCTGCACAAGATCGATCGAAGGCTAGTCACAGGCTTGGGGCTTCTCATGTGTGTCAGTTTGGTGGATCGGACCAACCTGGGAAATGCTATGATTGCTGGGTAAGTCCTCATGCATGACCTTCCGGATGAATGTCCTGTTGATGAAGCCAAAGCATGGAAAAGGAGCTTCAGCTCTATATCGGTTCTCGCTACGTGAGTGATACACAAGTGTCTGTAACCAATAGAGGTGCTAATTGTTCAATAGTCCATCACGCTCCTCACCTTTTTCATTCCCTATGTCCTATTTCAATTCCCGTTGATTACGGTAATTCGCAAGGTTGGGCCAAAGATCTTCCTTTCTGGAATCACATTTTCCTGGGGCATAGTCATGATGGTATGAGGTCCTTCCTTGGCGTCTTAAGGACCGGTTAACCATGGCTAGGGGTTTGGATTCATACATAACTGGACTGCGCTGGTTGGGCTTCGCATAGTCCTGGGGTTTCTTGAAGCTGGACTCTTCCCTGGCTCTGTGTATCTCCTTTCTATGTGGTATACTCGATGTGAGTGTTTGGCCCTCTTGATTGATTGTGGGTATTCGCGACTCACCTTGTCTAGATGACTTACACAAGAGATATTCATCCTTCTATTTGATTAGCGTCATCGGGGGAGCTTTCTCCGGAATCCTCTCCTATGGCTTCGTACACATGAATGGCCTAGGGAATTTGAGTGCATGGAGGTGGATCTTTGTCATGGAAGGAATCCTGACCTGTCTTGTTGGAGTGATTGGCTTCTTTTTAATTGTCAATTTCCCTAACGAGAACAATCTCTCCTGGAAGTTTCTTTCCAAGGAGGAAACCGCATTTGTTGTCCGACGACTTAACCGAGACAGACGGGACTCCTCCGAAGCCCCGTTCAATCTAAAAGAATTCCTGAAGCCCGCTCTGGACCCCAAAATATGGGGCTTTGCCCTCATATTCTTGTGAGTCCATAAAGCCATGTATCACCCTGCAAGACACTGACCTTTAATAGTTCCGCAACAGTTGTGTCCTATGCGATCACCTTCTTCCTTCCGCTCATCCTCAGAAGTGAGCTCAAATTCCCCCAGGCAGCATCACAAGTTCTCACAACACCACCATACTTCTTTGCCGGAATCTTCATGTATGTTCAAGGCTGGATTGGTGACAAGTACCGCATTCGCGCTCCATTGATTATCTACAACTGTGCTCAATGCATCGTGGGCTTAGCGATTCTCGGCTGGGTCCAAATTCCTGGCGTGCAGTACTTCGGGATCTTTCTCGTCACTTCCGCATCCAATGCGACAATTCCAGCCGCTCTGACATATCAGGCAAACAATATCCGTGGGCAGTGGAAACGCGCCTTTTGCAGTGCTAGTATAGTCAGCTTTGGCGGCACGGGTGGTGTAGCTGGGTCCTTAGTGTTTCGGTCGCAGGATTCTCCCCGCTACCTACCAGGCATTTATGCCTGTATTGCGTGAGTGGACTCTGTCATCTGTTTTGACCATTTACTGACATTTGTCCAAGGTGCAATCTCTTGTCAATACTCGTAGTAGGTGTGCTTAGCCTTTATTTCTATATCTCGAACAGACGAGCAGCAAGGGGGAAACTTGTTATTGAAGGTCTTCCAGAGTTCAGATATACACTTTGAGTTGATATAGAATTTCTTTCACTTGCAAGGGCTGGCACTTTACAATGAATCAAGTATGATATGAATTTCTAAGCAGCTCTTCCGAATCGAATGGAACTGTGAACAACAATGAGTTCATGTTTAATACAATGGCATCTCATTGTACTATTGCACTTCCTAACTGTAATAAGAATGCTGGGTAATACACCACTATTCGCACTGGTCGACTATAAAGTAAGTGGTTGATAGTCTCCGCAGTTAAAAGGTCAGCTAGATAATGACACAAGATGTCAGCTTAACCAGGAGATATCCGCAGTAAAAGTGAATATATCCAATTGTTAAATTGACAATTATATTGCTATCACAAGAGGTTATTCGTTAACCTTCGATACAAATGTCCGTCTTCAACCCTATTTCTGTTATACCACACGCGCCAAACTATGTTCTAACATACCCCTCCTGACAAAACAATAATTAAAATTAAAACATTACAAATTAAATAGTATGCAAATCCAATTTATTCAACAACTTGCAGAAAAAAAAAGAATCGAGTTATTCTTTGAATATGGACTATAGTTAAAGCTCCATTCTACGTAGGTCACAGCAGCATACGTGATTCTTGCTAATTATCTCGCCGTAAGAAAGTTCCACCACCAACGCAATCTCCAAATCATATATCGACAATAGGTACTCGCTTGTTTTATTCGGGCCCTTAATTTACATAGTATGCTTTCTAAGTATTCTTGAATTATCCGTGGGAAATCTTGCTGGACATATCATACATCCATACCTATCTTTTTCTTTTTTTCCTTCCTTCATCTATTTCTTTTCCAAAAAATGTATGACACTACACCCCAGCCATACCCTGGCTGTCATTCCTACCCAGATAATAAGTATAAACCACGACTATAGATACCCTTCTAACATATCATACACCTATACTTCCAAGTTACACTTTACTATCACCAAGAACCCCACCCCCCTGCCTATAACTAAGCCTTCACCATCCAAACCCATCCTGTCTTCTCCACTCTCGCAAGCCCCATAAATACACTCCAAACCCCCAAAACATCCTTGCAGTCATTTGAGCATACAGGAACCTTCCGCCTGGTATCTTATTAATCCGCAGGCACATCCTCCTTGGAGAGGGAATGATGCTCCATGTACAGGCATTCTGTGGTTGGTGGAGGAGAAACTCGGAAAAGGACATAGTGGGTACGTGATTCTTATCCAACTCTATAGAGTGAATGGAGGGGAGAGAAAGGGGTGTCTCCGGGGCAGTAATCAAAGGTAAGAGAGGTTGGGGGTTTAATCGACCTGAATTGTGGGGAGACTTGGTCAATATATACTACATGGAAGAGTAACTCAAAATACAAGATAAAGTTACCGAGCACCAACAAACCTTCCGATGAAAAGAGGAAAGTTTCCGCAGGAAAGCCACTTCGCTGGGCCGGTATCAGATTACATACACAGATGATCAAGCCCAGCCATCGATGCCATGCCCTAAATAAACTCTATGCAACACCCAAACAACCGCCCCCAAGCTAGCTAACCCTAATCAAACGCCTGAATAGTACGATCAAACTCCTGATCCAACTGACGATTCCGATTTACAATAGTCTCCCTATCCTCCGGCTTCAGCTTCTCTTCTATAGACGCAGCAAGACCATGACATCTCTCCCTAAAATCCCTAATATGTTCTTGAATCCGATCCGCAATCTTCGCTTTCTCAAACTCATGTCTCTATTGATATATACCGTATAGTCACGTTATCAGTCCCGACGTTACCAATCCCCAATACTCTAGGAACCCAATAGAATGACTATAGAAGGAAACATAAATACCTTCACGACAATATCATGCAAATACTCCACCCAAACAGACTGCATTTTCACAGCCACATTCGCCACGATGGAACTCTCCTGTTTCTTGAATGGGGTGGAGGCATGCACGGCATTCATGGATTTGATTATGGATATTTCGACGTTGGTGTGCTTTTGTTCGAGGCCGAGTTTATCGTCCTTTTGGGGTTCGTAGAGTTTGACGGCTTTGTCGAGGAGGATGAGGTTTTCGTCGATTAGGGCGAATTCTTTGAGGATACCCGGGACATTCCGCGTTTCGAGGGGGTGGGCGGTGGTGGTGATGAGTTGAAGGGAGAGGGTTGTGAGGAGGGTTAGGGAGGGGGAGAGTTTCATCGTGGTTTGTTTAATATATACTCTTTTGAAGTGGGGTGGGTGAGGTGTGTTACGGAGTTGAATGGAGTAGTGAAGAGTAAGTTATACCGAATGGATGCGAATATCGTCAGTGCTTTAAGTATTTCTTCACTCCATATCCGTGAAATTGAGGAGACGGTCCTCTTTAATTACAGGATCGTTACACAATGGGTGGTTCGTGGAGTTTTCTTTCGGCCAGCAATTTCACCGATCATATAGGGGAGTAGACCTAGCCAGTCCTTGCTAGGTGATTTGAAGTAAATAAGTAGCCCTTCTACATAGCGAGAGATCATGGCTGTTGTCTGTACAAGAGGTCCATGACCATGTTATAGTGATTGATGCAAAGGCTTCTACACAACCATGATTACTATGTTACCCACTTAGAGCAGCAACCAGCCTAATTCTTTACCCACGTGTCGGCTTTGAATTTAACTCCGGACCGGGGCCATCTCACACAATACCGTATTAATTCTCTCTGATCTGATTAATATGTAGTAGAGTCCTAGTATCAGCCAGCCTAACGCCACCCGTGATTAAATGCGATGCAGTTGAACCGTCCTTTCATGCATGTCGGTAGCTCAAGTCCTCCTCAACACCAAGGCAATATAGCCAAACAGTCGGTAAACTGCGATAATGCCTATCAGGATACCTACCCACTTCCCTGTCCGACCTGTCGCATACCCATACTCCTTCAGTACCCCGGTCCCTCGGATCATACACTGGTCCGCCAGATCCGTTTGGTACATACACTGACACCCCGAGCCACACGAGTACGTCCTCTGACTAAACTCATTCACCATCATCCCCTGAAAGACGTACGCCTACACCAAAAGTCAGTAACACACGTTTAACAATGCAGAAAGACACCAGTAGCGTACCTGGTAATCAATATAGTGGAAAACGTATTTCCAGAATGGATTCAAGATGGTCGGCGAGACAAGGAACCCGCCCACACTCATCCAGAGCCCATTGGCAAACGCGACGAGCGCCAGACTGATCACGAAATTGGGGAATATGGCTGTGACGAAAACAACAAGGGATTCGGCAGCAACGAGGTCCAGGAAAAGCCACATCACCCAGGTGAAAAACGCGGCACCTGTGGGCCGGAAGTTGGAGAGCCAGTAGCTGACTATCGAAAAGAGCATTGAGATTATGACTTTTTCAAGGCATTGTTAGCGTGGTCCAAATACTAATTCGGCAGTCCGGGGAGGGGACGTACATAGGTACGGGAGGCCGATGATGAAGTTGGAGATGACGAAGGGCAACGCGCCGTAGAGTCCGTTCGCTCGTTCTTTGGTAAAGGTTGCCCGGTCCTCAAGGAAGGATGGCACGTAGGCGACGGCCATAAAGCTCATGAAGGCTGAGCCGAAGAACTGATTCTCGTTAGGCTATAGATCCGCAGGGAGAAGGATAAGGAGCTTACGATTGCGTTGATGAAAGGTTGGATGTACTCCTGTGAGGTGTGGAGACGAAGCCATACCGTCCCCATCATGATTGCCAATCCTGGAGGTCAGATTAGCTCTGTACAATCGCGAAAGGCATGGGGAGGTTTGTACCCAGATACATGACAATCCGAATACCGTAGGCTACAACGTCGCGATAACTCTTGATAAAGAGCCGATGCAGAAGAGACATGGTGATTCGGGGAACACCTGGGCGGCTCAGTTCGTCGATATTCATTGCCTTGCCGCCCTTCTCCTCGGCGCTCTGTGGTTGCTTGCTTAATGCGGCACACTCAGCGGACTGTGTCCATGCTGTTTGGATCTTCTCGACTTGGTCCTCGTCGACTGCGAAGTCCGAGCTGACCGCATCCAAAAGGTACTCGGCTGGATTCGTATTCGAGGGAACGGGATAGTCGATGCTTTCGAAGTAGCTTGGGACATCCGAAATGGGTCCGAAGTAGCATGTCTTCCCGCCCGAGAGAAGGAGAAGGTTGTCAAATAGCTGGAAGGTTGTTGTCGATGGCTGGTGGATACTCGCGATTATGATAAGCTTTAGTTTGATTATGTTAGCCGTCCGACTGGTTCTGTAACATGCTCCCAAGCCCTTTCCTGGAGAAACATACATTGTTCGCTACTGCCAGTTTTTTGACGTATGAGATGATCTCGTAACTAGCAGTCGAGTCCAACCCGCTGGTTGGCTCGTCGAGGAGCAGGATTTTGGGACAGGTGATCAGCTGACTGGCGACGCTGACCCGTCGCTTTTGGCCTCCGCTAATCCCCTTCCGAATGGGAGTGCCCACCAGCGTCGACGCCTGCTTCTGGATGCCGAATGCGCTCAGGAGGGTCTGGATGCGATCTGCCCTTTGGGATCTCGTTACCGATCTACCTGCTATCAGCCCACGGGTGCTATGGCCAAGTGATAAATTGTCAACGGAGTCCATACCCTGGCAGAGACAGATCTGCGGCAAACTTCAGTGTCTCCTGCACCGTCAGCGATCCGATCAACGCATCCTCCTGTTCGACGTAGGACGTGATGCGGTTGAAGGTATCATTATCCAGCTTTGCCCCATTGACGTAGCATTCCCCCGTGGTTTTCGCTCCAGCCGAAGCGGTGCGACGCGCAAGAACGTTCAACAGTGTTGTCTTTCCGCAGCCCGAAGGTCCCATCAATGCGATTAGTTGGCCTGTGTTTTAGTTAGCACTTTGTTTGTTGTCATGCGGTCTTTTGCAGTGCTGTACCATGGTGGGCAGTTCCGCTGCAGCCCTCGATTAGATTCCGGGGCTCCTTCGTGCGTCTATCTTTCACCGTCACGGTCAGGTTATCCCATGTGAAGGATTGAACCGTGTTGTTCATCAAAAACTGATGGTCATTTCGTTCCAGATCGACGGTATCGGACGCCTTAGCTGGGTCGGTCTCCATGGTGAACAACGGCCGTGATTAAAATGTCGAGTTTTACCACAGGAAGAAAGCGCATGCACTGATTGTGGCCAAGGCCGGGTAGATTTATAAGAAGTTGAACTGCTTGAACGTTGGCAAACGGCAATGGGATCCCTGTCGGTGTCCAACGAGAGGCGAGTCAGGCGCAGTCGTTTATCTAATATGGCGGGGAACGGCAAAAAGAAAAGAAAATAAAAGAAAAGTCGCCGACTTGTGGACGGACTATTGTCTGGATCGTCAGCGTTGCATTTGCAGTAGTGATTTTGCTAGTACTACTAGTGGTACGAAGTACTGTCGAGCACTAGTAGCCTGAGGCTGCCGATCGGCGGGCCCGAAAAACAAGGGTGATCCCCGAGAGTTAGGGGAAAAAGTGGATGAACGCCGTTCGTCACCTCTTCTCTTCCGATCTCAGTCCCATGGTTCCCAGAGGAGATTCCCGAAAGTCAAATTTCATATCTTGGGAGAGGTCCCCGATTCGTGCGAGAAAACCAGTCCATTCTTTATCGGCACTGGATTGGAGCGAAAATCTCAACTAGGGGTTACATTGCCCATTCCGTCAGCGATCATTTCGCCCGAAATAAAATGTGAAAAAGCAAAGTCGGGCTCATTAGGTGGTGCACGGACCCTGTTCGTTCAGCTCGCGGTATCCCTGTCCTTTGTCCCAGATGGGTTTAGTTTGACCAACGGCCCCGTTTGTCACAAGCCCGTCACGTTCCCCGGGCTGAACCATTCAGCTCCCACACAATCCCTTCAAGATGTGATTTGATCTTACTTTTTGATGAAACCCACACCAATCAAGAAGTCTGAAAAAATTATACCACACACACAGCAAAACCAACCTACCCCACCGAAACTGCCAAATCCTCCAATGATGATCGTGTGGTAGCACTGAATGAGGGGGCTTAATGCCTGCTACCTACTAATGGGTTCAGTCACACAGACACCTCCATCCCATGAAGCTGGCCACTCACATACAGAATATTTCATTGGCCATAGCTGAATGGTTACTCCTCCACATTTGGCTTGTACGATATCCTACTACCGGACTTCTCCTAGCTCAGTGCTACTCTCTACACACCTGAAACCCCCCCCAATTCCGAACATGGGATTATCTACTACGCCAATAACCTCCAGTTACCAGGCTTGCTCTGGTCTACCACAGAGCGCACAAGAATCTTGAGCTTCTACTCGTTACAAAGTCATACAGCTACACGAACTGTTTCTTGTGTTAAGCTAAACCCCGCCACGCGGCACACTGTATCATCTAGTTGACAGCGCCATGCCATGGGATAAGAGTAGACGTCAAGATAATCTCAGAGGTGGGGAAAATCTAGATGATCGGGAGAAACAAGGTTGCATGATGCACCAGGTTTTAGCAAAGACAGCATGGTCGACTAGGGTTGGCGGAACAACAACTTCCCGATCCACCGGCTCCATATCAAGCAGGGATGGTGCCTATGAGGGAATAGAAGGGGAAATCTAGGTCAGGGACATGGTGTGGAAAAGGTCTAGAAGGAAGATGATCGGGTATAGTGGTAGTGATCCTCCTTTGACTTTTCACTTGTGTTCTGGGGCGTTAGGTTCTGTAGATAAACCTGCTTTATGTGTCGGTATCTTCATATATAGTTTAGCCATTTGCAGAGATCTAGATCATAAAAGTCTAATTACAGTCAGTCTACCGTCGCAGTGTGATGCCATCGGTATAGTGGCGGTAGACGGGCACGCTGAATGGGTATGGATACTACTACTATATATCTTGATAGAAAGCCTACAACAGATCATCTCTTTATTCTGGTCTTGAGTTAGGTGGGGTAAGGATTGATCTTTTGAAAAAGATAATTAAACTAAACATGTTCTTTGGTCCCTCTAAGAGGATAAAGATTCTATGCGCATGGTGTATCCACATGTTTCAAACAGTCTTTGACCTTGGAGCAAAATAGTACTATAGTATGCATGGTTTTCCTGAACTATCAAATTCAGTCTCGAATATAGGAATGTGTGTAGTATCTAGTTTCATAGCTGCGTAGCTTATAAATATTTGAACTTTTATATCTCTTGAGCTTCCAACTATGGATTATATATTATCCCTCTCAGAGTATATCTTGCCAAACAGGCAACGCCCTAGTACACTATGCCCCTGTCTGCTTAAATTTCTACACAGTTAGGAGGAGTATTACTCCTCCAGAGGTACGCCCACCCCGACTTCCTGAATCCCTCTCCATGGAACCACAGCACAGTAAACAGTGGCAAAAATACCAACGACAGAAATGCAAGGAGAGAGTTTCCCCAGCCCAAGCCGAGCGAGTGATTCAATGACGGGCCAGTGAGTGGAAAGAAGGCCCCGAAAAGCGCACACAGGGTGGCATTAGCGGATAGGGCAGAGGCGGAGACGCCCTGCTCATCGAACGCGTCGACGAGGTAGTTTTCCGTGGGCAGTTTGGTCAGAAGCATACTAAACCCGATTATGCCGGTACCAATGAGAGGCACAATCCAGTGGACGTGTTTGTTGGCCGACCAGCCATACAGTAATAAGCCGACGGGGAGCATAGCGGTGCCGAAAATCATTAGTGGGAGGCGATGTTCTGGCCTCGACTCCCCTTCTATCGCGCGGCATCGTCTGACGTACCGGTCAGAAACCAGGCCGTAGACGCATAGTCCGATTATGTTGCCGATTGCTAGACCGGGGATGATTAGTAGGGGTTACTGTGGTGAGTCAGTAGGAAAGAATAGATATACCTCGACCGAGAAAGGTGATGCCCACTGGACCATCACCGAAGCCGTACGTTCTCTGCATGACCTCCGCCAGAGTTGTCAGGATCAGATAGGAGATACCGTACGCCAGCGCCGTGTAGAAGGACATGACTAGCACCACTGGAGAAGAGAAGAGTAACCGCATCGGACGGATAATAGACTTGAGGATCGTGTCATGAGGTGCGGAAGGGTGGTTGCGAGATGATGTGTGTTTGTGATTCCCGTCGCTACGATCCTGTGACGTTTCGGTCGACGTTCGCGACTGTTGCTGGATTTTGAACCGGTAGGTTTCTTTGAAGACAGCTAGGGACAATAGGGATATGCTACCGACGGCTATCACCATAATCCAGATGGTCCATCGCCAGCCAAGGGTGCTGTTGATGAACCCGCCAACAATCGGGGCCACGCAGGGCCCGATTAACGGAAGAGCAATGGCCACCGCCATTGCGGTCCCTCGTTCTTCCTGGACGAATAGGTCTCCAATAATGCTCGGAGCGAGGGTGAGGGAGGTGACTGCCATCCCGTTCAAGAAGCGGAAGGCCACCAGCATGGAGATATTTTGGCTCAGCGCGGCCGCGACGGAGCAGAGGATAAAGAGAAGGTTACCGCCATGGTAGACGATGTTGCGCCCGTACTGCTCTGACAACGGCCCGACTACAAATGACCCCACACCTTCGCCCAACTCCCAGATGGAGACGATCAAGGGCTGATAGATATTACCTGAGACATGAAAGTGTGAGAGGATGGTTGGTACAGCTGGGACGATGATGATCGTTCCGAAGTTACTGCACTAAGGGTGAATAACGGATACGGATCAGCAGCGAGCTTTAGTAGGATGTACCCACGCCAACATATACATCAAGGAGACGCAGATCACTATCGACCACTTTCGCCAACGGGGCCAGGTTGTGGGATCCCCGGGCTTCTCCAGGCGCCGGGAACGGCTATGGTCGTTCTCTTGCTCTGGCCAGTGAGCAGCGTCGCATGTTGTTATTTCCAGGTCACCGCCCTTCATCATGATTCGGGTGGTACTTTGGCGTCAAACGTGTTAAATTCTGGTCAGCAACATAAGAACAGCTCTACTTTGCACACCGACGCGTGGTTGGCTTTTGGGAATTCAGTTGGCCGAGGCGTGCATTTTACAAGTAGTCAACTAGGTGGGCTTGTCACAACCAAAGCCCGAACCTTGTACTGAGCAGGGTAGATGATACGATACTTAGCGATAAAGTTATAATAATGAAATTAAAAGAAACAAAGAAGACGATGTCAGGAGCCCTTATCAATTCTACTCAACACCTACTGGAACCTGTCCAGTAATGACAACAGCATCCTTTTCTAGCGGGCATAAGCGTGGGATTTAAACCAGGCCGGGACGCTTCGCCACCACCACTACCCGAGGGATGGACAATGCAGCCCCGTCCACACACTCCTGGTATCCAGCCCGAATAAGCCTGAAAAAAGCTTGCAGCGGCCTCGGCCTTGCCATTTTGCATCAGCTTGGACGCAAACTCCTCCATGGTCATCAAATGTTGGTCGTTAAAGGCCCGGACCAACTCCGGCCCCTCATCGTAATAGTCTAGTTTCGCATCCTGGAACCCAGCCACGTTGAGCAGGCGTGGCAAGTCCAGCACCCAATCATGCCGCCCGTTAGCGTAGGAGGCAGCACGGATTTCCTCAAGCGCAGGTGCCTGGACGGAGGGGTTCACTTTCTTGATTTTCATATTCATGCAGTCCAGCTCATCCCACTGAATGTAGCCGCCGGGTTTTACGAACTGGAATAGTCGCCGGATGACAGGCGTTGGGTCCTCACCCGAAAGCACCAAAACGAGCAGTCGGACGTGTACAAGATCATACTGGCACTCGAGACTCGCGGGTACGTCCGCAAAGACATCCCAATATCGTAGTGTAATGTTGGAGGGTAGCCATCCAGGATGAGGGGCTTGAGTGAGGTCGATATCTAGCCCATTCAGCTAGCTGTCTAGAAAGTCGCGGGATACGTCAATCAACCACAACGCAGTACCTATAGCAATGTCGGCAATTGCGGGATGAGAAGGGGTATCGGTAGTATCGTCTGCGGGGGGAAAGTGGACCGATGGGTGAATGTGGAAGCCAAAGACTTGACGCCAGAGAAAGTGTTGCAAATTCAACCGGATGACCGAGCGGTGGTTCTGCTGCAAGGCATATCCAAGGCCATCAGCGAGGCAGAAGCTGGCCGAGGAGAGGTGTTGAGAGTCTGAACTATGCATGCTGGCGAGAATGGACAGGGATAAGGAGCGTCCTCAAGTTGGGCGTGATCCGGACAAACAGTAGTGACAGTACAGCTGCAGCCTGGGGTGGATCATATAGTATCCACGACTCCTCTATATAGGCGTTATAATAGAAGGCAGTCCTACTTCCTCTCATCGGGACCCCCTTAGGCTGTGGCGTAATCAAACTAGTAAGGGTCCTCAATATAACCAAAACAGAAAAGAGTGAAACAATAAGCACACCAACATTTCATTGGCTGGAGCGTTATTCCGGAAGAACCCCATAAGCCTGGAGCCGATCCCTCGGAGTCGGTGACCGATAATATACTAATGCTTGGCTGTGCTTGTCGCCCGAGGTTCATCTGCGTCTTCCAGATCTTATGAGAGTCAGTGTGAGCCATGAATTGAGTGTCCAAACAGATCACCCACCATTGGCACGGGAAGCACCCAGACCAAGATGTCTGTGATCAAGTCTGAAATTATTAACCCTTCAAGGCGGGCGTTGGTGTTGCAGCTGCCGATTTGCGTTAAAGGGCCCCTAAAGTGCCGCCCACAGCCGAAGATCATCGCGAAAAAGAAACCCACCGTCCAGAGAGTACAGATACCAATCAAAGCCCATGTGGTAATTCCAAAGACCTTCTCTTGGCTGACTACAAACAGCCGCCAGTAGAGGATGAGAGAACTGAGCTTGATCAAACCATTCGCGGGGATCATCAACACCCAGGTAATCCAGTCCACCTAAAAGGATTATTAGAATCAGGCTGTGACTGCCTTGGCAAAAGGGGCGACGTTACCAGCTCAACCGTCCTCTGAGCATCTGATAGCTCTGTCAATTGCGCCATCTGAGAGTCACTCGAATAAGGCGGGGTGGGATAGGCTAGTGCATGCTTAACAACTCCTGTTATTGAGGACCATGTAAGCCTGCTCCAGATATTCCTGGCAATCAAACGTCCAATTAAGACATGCAGCTCACCATATATCTGGACAGCGCCCATCCCCATCAAAAACACCTACAAGGGTTAGCTCGAGTCTGGGTCAGACTTTCCCAGCAAGAAGGAGTATACGCCGCACCAGGGCAGCCAGGACCAACCAATCGTCGGCCCCGTAGGATTTACTGTTCCTCCTGCGCAGCCAAAGTCGGGCAAACACGCTAAAGGCGCCAGCACACGGCAGGACTATGGCGGCAGCCAGTACCTCTGATGCAGAGATGAACGAAATGAAGAGCTCCTTGGTAGACATGGCCGATGGTGCAGCCGGAGATCTGGGAATAGTAGGTTCAGTAAAGGATAGTCACCACCGAGGTACCTCCCCCGCTATGTTCTACTGCTCCGTAGTCCTTTAGCTTTATAACGAGAAAGAATGGCTGTTTGGTTGGAATACCCAACCATTTAAGACATTTAATGGATGTGTGTGCTGATAATATCAAGGGTGAAACAGCCCCCATGTGCATCCGGGAACACACTTGCTAATAAGGACGGCTTCATACCCTAGGATAATGCCAGGGTCCAGGTTCTTGTCGGCCAATAGGCCTGGCCTTCCTTCCAGCCAAGCCTATATAAGGATGACCAAACCATCGTTTCCCATGAGGGCCAAAGCAGATCAGTCCATGCCTTTCATCCATTCCTTTCGCCAAATCTGACAACCGAGACTTGTTTCTTCTTTCTTCCCTGCGCAGTCACCATGATGGCTATACACAAGCTCATTCCACTCCTCTGCCTTTTGACCGGGGCCCTTGCTACTCCTTTGGAAGCTGCTCAATGTATCTGTTACTCTATTGACTTCAGTCCGCAGTTCGTGTTATACGAGACTGTATAGATGTGAAGGTTCAATCAATCAATCAATCAAAATTCTATTAACCTGTTGGAGCCTAACTATTGAACGTCTAGCTATGTAGGTGCTTCAAAAGAGCCTAGAATCTAACTGTAAAACACCATATATTTACAAGAAAGTAATCGAAAGCTTTTATCACAACTAAACTTGTCTGCTATCTGACAGTTCCCCTGAATCCCGTCTTCCTAATCCCTTATCATCCTATGTCCTCCAGCCCCTTCTAGTGTCTTCTAATATATAGGTATTGATATATATACTGAGAGAATTTAACTATATTCTCCCTGGTATAACCGTTTATATATTGTCTTCTATATTTGTTCTCCTTTTGTAGTGACCAGTTTATTTAATATCTCTAAACTGATTAAGTAATCCTATTTAGTATATAAATTCGGTGATGTAGTGTATTATCTGCAGATAGAATAAAATCCCGTTATAATCTATCTTATCTCGGACCTGTAGATCTAACCTATCCAGTATTATCTTCCTGGCCTTGCTGTAGAGCGGGTATTATAGAAGGATATATCTCAATATCTGAGAGTCCTGCCTGCAGTGGTATTAGTCTAAGTCAGATAGTTTAATTTTAAAGAGAAAATATTTTAAACTATTTCTCTATATTCTTATCTAAATAATAATCGATATATATAACTTAGATAATTTTTTATAAAAATCTAGTACTTTCTTATTCAGGATCTTAATTAGTTTATAAGTTATATAATCTGTTTTTACTGTCTTCTACTCTCTGATCTATCTCTTCTTGACACAGTGGTATATCTGCTGTTTAGCTGCCGCGGCGAGACAGACAGCCGTGTCTTTTCGCTGTGTGCCCTCATATACAGTTTCATCAGTGGCTTTATTTTCTGGCACCCCGATATACGCAGGGATCCACCGAATCTGGATTCGGTTCTGTATAGTATATTACCTAGCAATGTAATAGATCTTGTTCAATATATATTGTTCCGAGAGCCTCTGCAGATTACTAATTATTTGTATAGCTATCTAACTATTTACAAAGACTGTGGCCGGTCTTTGTTTATTCTATAGTTTATACAAAGCTATCCAGATCCCGGTCAGCTCGCCTGTGTAGACTGTGGACTCCTCTTCCGACCCCAGTATTCCATTGTGTATCTATTCTTGCAAGATAGAGATGGCACTGGTACCAATCCAACTATTCAGTCCACTGCCGTCGGTGTATACCGCGATCCCTTATCGCCTGGCGCAGTATTCCTTGTGGAACTGGAGTGCGGCGTCGTGGCTGTAGATGTGAAGGTTACGTGTATTGACAATTACTGTAGCCGAGCCATATCAGTTGAATGACGTGGCGAATTAGAAGGCCGATATTCCTCCCACAGACGGCAACGAGCCCTCCACTCAACAAGATCTCTAGGCTCGAAATGGCCTGCCGGTGCAAGGATGAAACATTATGCAGCTAGTTCGTCTTACTCCAGCGCGAGCCCTATATAGACAGAGATCAGGATGATGAGTTAAGCAAGCTATTATCTGAATACGACCGTACCTCATAAAGCAGCTCCTCTTTATCGTGCCCTCGGTGGGTATTGGCCGTAGGAGCTACATCCGTCCATGATTATATTAGTGCCCATTATTGGGTCATGGTGCATTGTCCCACAAGGGTACGACACCTCGGCTTTTAAAAATGCCACCAGCGCCCGACATTAATCCGTTGCCATCATTGTTTTGCCTGTAAGCCCTAACCATGTCCTTACCACAATACCTGCGTGTTCCTCTCTCAGACCCCTCTGGCGACGAAGAGAAGGTGAACAGCAAACAGAGCGAACGGGATTCCACTAATTCAGGGGGCCCTCACCGAAAGCAGAGCAGACTTCAACTGCCATTCATCCTGTCCATTCTGGTTAATATCTTCTTGGTATCAATAGTTCTTCAACTTCAGTCGAGAGCACCATTGATTGGCCGTTCGAATTTTGGTTGAGTCCGCCTCCTTTACCTTTCCTCAATCAAGATATATATCCGCCAACCTGTTAACGATCTCTCAACTGACACATCCCCCTTTACGTAGCTGGCCTAACCCGCACCGTCCCCAAACCTTGGGGCCCTAATGAAACCATCAACGACACTAAACAAGACGCCCTTTGAGAGTCCACCAGTTATGACGCCGGCAACATCGCCCTATCTGACACTTACACCCGTAAAGCAGGCCTCCCCCGTGCACAGCGCTTCCCCTGGGATCAAGAAAAGGGCATCTACCTAATCAACGCTTATCACAACCTTCACTGCGTGAAGACTCTGCGCACCGCACTGGTCGAGTTCCGCGACGGCAGGGAACAGAGTTCCCCCCGGAGCCACCTAGCGCATTGTCTGCTTGTGCTACGGGACGAGCTCATGTGTGAGGCGGATGATCAATCAATCAATCAATCAAAATTCTATTAACCTGTTCGAGCCTAACTAATGAAGTGTCTAGCTATGCAGGCGCCTCGCCGGTGAGACAGAATCTTGGTCCAGAACGCCTAATCCCAAAATCCCACAGTACATAGGAGATATAACGAACGAAAAAGCTTTTCACAACTAACGTGCCTGCCACAGCACCTCTCATAGTCCTTTAACCATCCTCTGCGTCTTGTTCCCATTCTGTTCACCTTGTAGTCCAGTATATTTATATATCACTGGTCCGGGCTGACCCTGCCCAGCCTCCCTGTGACCGCTTAGCCAGCGTCTTCCCCCTCTGCTCCATTTGTTTCAGTGGTAGGTTCCGTGTCCTGCGCAGTCAGCTCCGCTTCACGGAACTGACTGAGTAGATCTGTTCTGTGTATAAACTCGGCAATGTAACGAATTGCCTGCGGGTGAGATATCAGTACGTCGTAGTCTGCGGTCTGGTGTGAGGCGGATGACACGCCGCGGTATACAGGGTTCCAGCCTAATCAAAAAAGTGAGCTCGGGCAGATGCGTATGTGTCGGGATTTCGAGCAGTTGGAGCGCTGGGCGCTGGAGATACGGCGTGCTGGAGACATGTGGGCGAGATTAGGGAGGAGGGATTTCGGGAGTTAGATGGGTATCGGTTTTGTCCAGAGGGAAGTCTGTACAAGGAAATGAGGGAGACTTTATGGTTACAAGGGAACTGGTGGAGAAAGTACAAAGACGAGTGAACCGGCCAGAATCCTCGATTAGTTGACAGCCCCAAAAACGTGGAGGTATTGTAATATCAAGAATGCGGTGGAGTTAAATGAGGATTTGCTGAAGACTGACGTGACAACCAATACGTCAATTTTACTAAAAGATCACATCGTCGACATAACAATCTCGTAGAAAACTCAATCGTAAAAGTGCCGATAGAAAATCGTGCACGCTATGTTATAAGTACTAAATATACGGCTGTCATAAGAGAGCCGCACTGATTGCTTGGGCATCACGGAAGCAGGTTCGCAGTAAAGAACGGCCAAATAATGGGGTGAGGGTATAGGTTACAGTAGGAGCGACTAGATATGCTCGAACATATCATAAGTAGTTCAGTACCTGTCATATGAAGGATATCAAGGAAAAAACAAAAGTAATCAATAGTCATGATTGGAAGCGTACATCATCATAAACTGAGAACTACAAGACGACATAACATGTGACATTAAAGCTCACACACAAGATACAGGATCGAAACAACAACAATGGGGTATACCTCTCTCTGCCACAACTCATTTCTTCCAACTGACAACAGAAACCAAACAGACGAAGAAACAAGAGGCTTCCAGAAAAAGATGTTACAAACGCTTGGGGCATGAAAGAAATTAAATAGCATCAGCATCAGCATCACAACATAGTACCGTAACATAAAAAACATCAATCATGCAGGTCATCAGAATCATACAATCATGTCGCCATGATGGACGTGATCGGTCAGAGCCTCAAACCCGCCCTTCTCTTTATAATTTATACCCGAACAAGTCAAACCAAAACAAGAAAAACCGAACCCAGAATACCCCCCATAACCAGAATCCTTTCAGTAACGAATCATCGAACTTTTCCACGCGTTATCGCATCTTGTCTTTTTTGTGTTTTTCCTTTTCTTTGGTCCAAGTAAAGGCGGCCAACCCAGAAACGAGAAATGAGAAACTTTTGGCAAACGACGTCTTTATCCAGAGCTTTCAAGTCGGGCCTCGGTAAATATAAGATCAAAGCTCGCAAGCAAGCACGGAAGTGAAACATAGTACCCGGTAAAAGGCTAGCTAGTATCGACCACTGTAAGTCGATCGGCTCGACCGTCGACTCGCGCGATCGGACCGTCGGTCGGGACGAGCCCGCCGTGGGTCTTCTAGCTGTCTCTGGGTCACGCTTGGTGTGTAGTCAGAACCATTCGTCAGGTACTTTTTTGGTCGTTTCCCTTCAATGTTCAGTTCAACTGCACCCGCGTCGCCTGTTCGGAGACTGATCTTCTTTCCGCCAACAGA